TTCGTTCCAGAAGGTTCTCCATCCGTCCATGGCATATTGCCAATTTTGTCACCAAATGAGCGATTTCTCTCCAAATGTTGCAACCCTGTCTTCCCTTGCCCTTTTATGACAACCCTAAACCTGTTTCGCGAGGAAGCTATCTTACCGTATTTCATAAAACTGCGCCCTCCCTAGGACTGCACGTCCCGGGCAGTACAACCCTTGTTCAGAAGCCAAATTTGATACAATCAAAACGCTTTAAAACATACAGATAACATAACTAAAGAAGCAAATATTTACACTAGTTATATACAAGTTACATACGCAAATTAAGCACATAAAAATTTCAAATAATACAAATTAAAGTTCATAATGAATTTCAGTCTCAGTCTTTTCATTAAGTTATACCCAGTTCAAATACTTTTCCACTGCAGTTGTCAGATGCATTTCTGTTTTGCATATCACAGTCTAAAGATTCAGCCCTTTCAGACGTTTCATCCACTGGAAGATCTAAAACAGTTTGTTCACCATTCTGTAGATCATTCGCAACATGCGTATCGTTCATCTCGATATTTTTAGCGGATGGTACATACTTATTTACCTCTATTTCCTGAAAACCAGTTCTGATGTTTGCAATAGAATCGCGAACAGAACCCGATTCTTCACAAACACAAGTATCCAAGTTTAGAATCAAGTCCTTGTCTGCACAACCTGCGCTATGAGGCGCACACATAGTCTGCAAAATGGGTGAATTTTCTTGCAATACTGGAGGGCACTGCTTGAGCTGCACATCAGCTTCTCCCATCTCTACATCACTTGCACTTTCAGATGGTTCAACACTCACTCCCAACTTCGTAACTTCACTATCAGTTTTGACAAACTTAACAGTCACATTTTCCCTTCCTTCCACTTCAGGCACTTGAGAATCAACAGCTTCTTTCCCGTCTTTTATTTCTTCTTGTTTTCGTTCTTTTCCTTTATCCCATTAGATGTTTCATTCATCATTTCTTGATCTTTCTCAGGCAGTTCATTAGCTACTTTTTTCATTTCTTCATCCTTTGTTTCTTCAGATGCCACTTCTGTCATTTCCACATCTTCTTTTATGGCTCCAAATTCTTCTGCAAACGCCACTTTCACCTGTCGGAGTTGCCTTCGCACCTTTTCTTGGCCAGCATTTATTTCTTCTTGTCGGGCTTTCTTCTCTTCCAGTCTCGCTTTGATCTCAGCTCTCATCTCTTCATATCCAGCTTTCATTGTATCATATCTGTCTTTTATCTCAGCATGTCCGGCTTTTATCTCAACATATCAGGCTTTCATATCTTCTCGCCAAGCTTTGATCTCGGCTAAGAAGTTCATCAAAGTGTTCGTTTCCTCCACCATGACTTTCTTCTGCAGGCAGGTCACTGGCATTCACTCACAAATCCCACTTCGGACACCAGTTGTAGCGTTATTTTCTTCCTTCGGTACAGTCGTGTGGATTTGGCCAGATATTCTGATTAGCCCAGAAGAGGTATTAATTTCAAAATGGCACTTTGCATCAATTCACTTTTCAAACTGTTGCCACCAAATATTACTGCAATGTATTATATTTAAAGAAACTAAATAATGAATAATCTGCATAGATGCATGAATGTTTCTCGAATTGTGAAAGAACAACAGTACCTAGAGCCATCAAATTTTGAATAACGTATTCCTCTAACCCAATACGGGCACTTGGAAGCCCGAATTCTGATTTCGAATTTGTTTTATTATCTGCTGAAAGTAGATAAGAAAAAATTTCATCTGTGTTTTCCTCTATGACTAATTAGACTGCCTACAATTTTATTAACAAACTCAACAATTTTAAAGTGAGCAATGGTAACACTATATGGGAATATATATATATATAATTTATTTCCTAAACAGTATTGCAGTATTGATTAATTGATTATATTATCTCCTAAGTTTAATTAAAGTAGAATTATTTTAAAAGTGTGCATCCATACTGGTAAGTTATATTTTGAAAGATGTTTTGAAGTAATTTGAAAGCAAAATGTTAATAATGTTTTAACGGGGACTGGAGTTAAATCATCATGAAGAATAAATTTTCAATTGTAAAAGGAAAAATTAAAAACATGTAATCATTGTCATTGATCGGAAAATTAGTTGACTTTTCAAGGGGAACAAACAAACTCCCGTTCAATGAACAATAATTGATAAAAATACGTAAATACGAAAGTGTTTCGTCTTTACGAGTTATAAGTTAAAGCCAAACCGGCAATTCTAGTCAGGCCAAAATTTCCGCGAATAGTAGGAATTATGAACTAATGCTGATACTCAAAGAAACTTATTCTCATGAAGCATTTTAGTCAATTCAATTTGGAGTAAAAATCAATTACTGTAGAGAAATCCGTAAAACTCGAGTAACCGTCCCCGACACTTTCATCGTTATGCATTTGAGTACTATATTATTTGTAGAAATTAAACATTGGAAAATTGTCATTATGAAATCGAATTCAAAGTAAAGTTGAAATAAACATAGAAGATTATAAAAAAGATAAATAATGCAAACTTTGTAAAAACAAATCAAAGAAAATATAAAAATAATATAAAAATAATAGTAATATAAATAAGATCAGTGAATGTACATGAAGATATAAAGGCCAGAAAGGTATTAAGTAACTTACATTCTTTCTAGTGGGGGAGTTGGCAAAGTGTTCTCTTCGTGTCTGACTCAGAAGTGTAGGGTGTCCGAAAATTCTTAGCGGCAGTTGGGGTATGTATATATCCAGCACACAAGACTGTCTACCGAAAATTCTAAAGATATGCTGGTTTTATATTACTGCTGGACTTGAATTTTATGTGTTTTAAGTGCCAAGAACATGATATTTAATCAATAAAAGTAACACACAAAACATTAAAAAAAATGCCCTTTTGGCATAATATAAAATCTGAAAGCTTTCAGATTTAAATATATATATATATTTTTCGATGGGAGGTTTGGTAATTAACTAAGAAATTGCTGGGGTGTTTTTCTGAAGGTCAGGGGTAATTTTATCAGTTAGCTCTTTGATTTTTCACTAGAGCAGTTCCCTTTTTTTTTTTTTTTTTTTTTTTTGCTTTCATTGAAAGAAGTTTTGTCAGCTCTATGTTTTGATAGTTTTGAGTTGTGGATGTTTATTGAATTTTATTTTATAGTTTATATTTCCTTAATTGTAGATATAATATTAGTTTATTTTTTCTGATTTTTTATTATTTTGCAAATGGATCAGAGAGGACTGACCATTTCTGAAGTACTGGAAGTGCTAAATGAACTGCTTTCAGATAGTAAATCCGATATGGATCCCAGTACATGTGCAAAACATGCAGTTTTGGGTTGTGCTTTTTCAAAGGCGTTGGTTGTCACTTATTTGTAAAGTACCACCATGAAAAAATAGATTAAAGTGTAAACATGAAAGGTAAATATCATATAGCCAAATTACTTTTTTTCATATATATGCATGTAATTATCATATAACCAAGAAGAGGTTTCTTTTGGTGTAGACTAGCGGGCCTCCTCGTGATGCACCCTGGGTAATTCTAAATCTGCTAGAGTAATCAGTATCCAGTTTTTTCTTTTTAATCATAGGCAAAATCTTTTACTCTACTGTGTGCTTCCCGTCAATGTTTGCTTCAGTGTTTTTTTCGAAGCTCTATTCATTCAGCGAGCCCCGCTTTGGGCACACTCACATAATTAAAACGTAAGTGCCATCTTTACAAAATTTCATCTGTGTTTTCCTCTAGGACTAATTAGACTGCCTACAATTTTATTTGTTGAAATACCAACTTTAAATGGTAGCGTGCCAGAAAGGGTTAGATAATAATCGATACTTCAAAAATAATTGATGAAGTTGCTTGAAAAAAGTCAAAGAAAAAAACTTTGTGCAAATTCTGAATGTATTCATTAATTGCATTATTTGTGACTATTATGTCATCTAAATATATAAAAGTTCCATTTGCCAAGGATGGGCCTTGCGATTATATCCCACCATGGTGGAAGCTCCACATAGGCCAAACAACATTCCAAGGAAGACATAAATCCCTGATTTCATAATAAATGTTATTCTTGACATGTCCTTCAGTTTTGCACGTGTCTGAAAATATCCAGACGTAAGGTCTCACATTATCATGTATTTTGTAGATTTATTTTTTCTAATTATTTCTTCAGTTATTGTTAATTTGTAAACTGCATATTCTGTTACGTTTATTTGAGTTAATAGCAAAATACCATGCTTTGAAATTGGTGGGTGGGAAATTATTTTTCTTTCAGTATAGTACTACAAGGCTAGCAAAGTGACAACTTATGAGTATTATAATTTTGCTTTTCAGATGCCATAGTATGTTTTCTTATGGTTTCCTCTTTAATGTAATGGTTTTGTTCTACATGGGGGTGGGGTAATTTCCTGCTTCTATCCGTTGACTGACCACATGTATCAACCCTGAGGTATCACCAAATAAGCTTGGAAAATTTCTTACCAATTGTTCCAACTTTGTTTTCTTTTCAGGCCTCAATTCCTTCAGGTACAAGACCAACAGCTATACCTCTTTTCTCAACCAGCTTGTTTATATTGAGCTGTAACATATCTTCCTGAAAATTAATTTTCATACCTCAAGACTTTAAAAAATTTATCACTAGTATCACATTCACCTGTTAGTTTTTAAACGAGAAAAAAAAAAAAAAAAAAATTCTGGTGCTCATTTTTAACCTGCCCAATTTAAAGTCACTCTGCCTACTCATTCACAATGTTTTTCTTGGGCCACTATAACCTTTACTCTTGCTACATCAAACAATCTATACCACCTAAAATGTTTCCTAAAAAAGTTCCTAAATCTTCTCCTTAACAAGAATCTAATTTCATGATTAATTATTTTAATTTTAAAATACTCTCTAAAATTTTTTGTTTGATATTTTATTTTTTCCTTCACAGAATAATCATTTTTTTACATAATTTTAATTTTCATGTATTTTAGTCCCGATATGCAAAGAAAATAACATAAGAATATTTAGATATAAAAAATTAAATCACAATTTTATTAAAATATTCATAAGCATTTCTGTATATTTAATTAGTCAACAGGTTTCAGCATTAATTGTATTTCAAGCATATAGGTACATAAATGCCTTCTTAGGGGCCTCATAAAACTTACTGCAAGAGGAACCCAGCTGGCTTAACCTGCCCTTGCAAGATCTATTGATTTCAAGGCAAATAGCTACAGGTCTCTCTTCATCAGAAACAAAGAAATCTGCCAAATGCTTACTTAATTTACATTTTACTTCTTCTGTCTTGATGCATTTACTTATTTCTTAAAATACAACTTAAGATATAATAAAATAAAAAATTTTAAAAATAAACAGTAATAAGAAGGTAGTAAGACAGTAATAAGAGAGAATGAATAAACTGCAATAGAAAGCATATTTCTTGAATGATAGTTTTAATTAAGCTGTACAGTTTTTTAAATAAATGCAGAATTAGAGACTTGATGGTAAAATTTTAACCTTTTAAATTTTAATCCTTACTTAACAAACTCTCTATGCATAATATATGCATATAAAATATATATATTCATCGCTTTTCAATTAAAATTTAAATTTATGGACAAACTAGTATCAGTAATAAATATATTAATATATACACATGTAAAGCACAAATAACAGTACAGTAAAGAACATTTTGCATAGTCCTTGGATTATATCTGATATACATGGAAAATGAACTTTTAAGTAAAAAATTAAATATTTCTCAAATATATTACAACCATTTTAATAGTTTTTAATTATTAAAAAAGAATGACTATCTAGCATTCTTGAAGTCCCATGTTAATGAAATAGATGACATATATTTTATATAAATTAGTTTTTTTTTTAATATGGTAGAAATACTGAATATGTAATAAATTACTATTATACAACAGTTTCAATACTTCTACCATTGATATGAGTAAATACACTATATCAACATCAACTTAAATTATATAATTTAATTTTGTTCAGTCCAAAGTGAATATTCTAGCTGCTATGTCGTCTAATACCCAATCAATACCAACAAGAAGGTTTTCTCCTGTTACAGCACTACATGGTACTATACGCCAGTGATGAGTCTTGATTAAATCCAGTTCTAAAAGCTATTTGAATAAAGATAAAAATAAATAAATAAATAAAAAGAATAATCAATGAAGTAATAATATTTATATGAAAGTTTCCTTTTGATGAGAAAATTTTCTATTTTCTTTACCTCTTTGATATCATCAGCAGTAAGAGCTCCTGGCAAATCTTGCTTATTAGCAAATACTAATAATGTTGCACCTGACAGTCTCTGAAATGGTACATTTTATGTAAAATGAAGAAAGATCATATAACTTAGGTTCATATAGAAATTTTAAAGTAAATGTCACAACTATAAAATTTATTACTTAATATTCTAGATCAGGGGTTCCCAATCCTATGCCCACGGGCACCGTGGCGTCTGCTGATAATTTAACATGTGCCCGCTGCTGTGTGATCACTATAAAAATATTTTATTTTCAATATAATTCTATGTGAAAGTTTTCTCATTTTTAATGAAATACAAATTGTGTCCAACATAGATACCAGCACAAAGCAAAATGGGACCAATCTCTTTTTTTATGTGCATATATTATTTATTCTATCCAACTATAATTTCACCTTGAAAAAGTAAATGGTGCCCGCCATCCAACATATAGTCTAGAATGTGCTCTTAGGGACAAAAAGGTTGGGCACTCCTGTTCTAGATGAACCATTTTTAAACTAGGACATTATGATTATGCCACTAGAGCAGTAGTTCTGAATCTGTTTTACTCCATGCCCTCATTTCATCATCGCTAGATCATTCCCCTGCACCCCATTTCTTTCCAAAACTCTGAAAAATACATATACATTTATTTAGACTCGGATTTTTTTTTTTTTAATGTATCTTATAAATTAAACAACAAAAAGTGCAGAAAAAGTAGATGAAAGTAGTTTTTATATATTCATAAACTAAAACTAAATACTTAACAGCTAAATAGAAGTCTGACTGCACTTCCCTTTCAAACTATGAAATTCTTCCCTGATTGAGAACCTCTGCACTAGAGCATATTATTGAAGGATACAAAGTGTTAAATAGCAAAAATTATTTACCACTTTTTGGTCTATGCTTGATATGGATTTAAACATCAATTTTGCCTTCACCTGACAAAGCTCAAATGTTATTTAAGTGTGATTTAGAAACCACTCAGTTAAATTTTTCCAATATTCATATTTAATTTGTACAACAGTGGTTGCTACAAAATTTAACTATCTATAAGAAAATAATGGATTGCAGCACCTGTTTCCCACTTTCCCATTTTTTATGGTCTAGCACTAATTTTTCTTAGCATGTGAGCCAGCTGATTTAATAGGAGTCACCCTGAATTTATATACCATCATGCCACTTTCATACTAAATTTCATGTATTGTAAGTTAGGTGTCTAAGGAATAAATTAATTATCAATATAATTTTAAAATAATTATACTTGTGAAACAGAAGAATTAACTGTGCAAAACTACTATAATCAAATTCTTAGCAATATCTGCAAGTGCTATTTTGAATCATTTGAAAGTTACCTTTTTTCAATTTGGGGTTCACAAAGCTGATGTCCCATTAATAAAATTACCTCAGAAAGGATTTATTGCTAAACTTTGAGTTGTTGCTAAATGTTTACAACATTCAAAATCACAAAGCCTTTTGATAATTTCCTACTAGGTTGACAATTGTACAATTTCATTTTTCTAATTAGTAATGTAATACTTCAAATAGACGTAAGGACTTATGACTATATTTACAACTATAAAATATGTAAATATTAACTAGATTTAATTCACACATTTAAAAATATGTATATTTCAGATGCTGATATGTAATAAATGCAGCATATACAGATGCACCTCACTTTATGAACAAAACAAACAAACCTGTTCAGAAATTTATTAGCAATCAGTAGAAAATAAACAAATAATACAAATAAGGCTACATGATGCACACTGTGATACTCTGCAGACAGTCAAAAGAGCAAGTCAAGGCAGCATTCAAGGAACCACTTTTTTTACATCATTCTCAATTATTGTACAACAGTCCTCTTAATCACTGAGCAATATATGAGGAGTGGTTCTTTCTTCAACTCATCCTAGACGTGAAATTGTACTGTCAGAAGAAATGGGTTCCTTTTAAAATTTTCCTGATCTGCCTCGCCCACTGTAACATTTAGACGATTTCCATTCCAATGTTAAAACTGTGCTTTTACCACCTAATATGACACTGATCTCGCAGCCAGTGGACTAAATTGTGATCACGTTAGTGATCACATTTTTTTAAAATTTCACATTTTAAAAATACTATGCACACTATAATACTCCCAGATGCATAAAGATGTTATGAAAAACCTAATATCATCTTAAAGCACTTTTGGAAGGATTACAATATTTCTAATTGTGTACAGAACATTCATAATGCATAATGAGATGTAACATATGTAAATATAAAGGCCATTTGGATAAATAGGTGCCCCCCATCTTGTTCATGACTGTTACAGTTTTAATCAAGATGATGAAAATACAAAAGTCCTTGAGTCTCATTGACATCCATAGGGAATTTGATCTAAACCTGCAGGAGGAGGATTTTGAAAAACAACTAGAATGATATGGAGGACTAACAAAGACTTCATCGACTAATGCATCCTGAAGAAAAAAGAGAAGGCTCCAGTTAAAAAGTCTGATACAAAAAGTCAATGACAGTATCATTTTTTAAATTCAAAGAAGATCTTTTTTTTGGGGGGGAGGAAACCAAGATCCAAATTCTCAGAGATTTGCTGAAGTAAAGTCTGTTGTGCACGATGCCACATAGCGCTATCATCTTAGTTACAAAAAAAAAAAAAAAAAGAAAGAAAGAAAGAAAGAAAACATGTTCAGACAAGTTTAGACATTTATTTTCTTAAGAAAGACACCTCAGAAATGTTTGTCTCTGGGTTACCTAACATGCCAATTCCTTTTAACTATCATCAGTTTTCTTGTTTCTCATCATCACCTTGGGGGGGGGGATGTTGCGGCGCAGAATGAACTGGAAGTTTATCTGTCAGCACTATCCTTATCTTCATGGCAGATGATTTTATTTTATTCGGCTTATAATTCCTTACTAAATGTAGTATTTCATCTCGATGTACTCCGTCTTTGACATGATTTAAATCAAATTCCTCGTAATTATAAATATCATGAATACACATCAAATAGTTTTCTGGTTGCAATTTTCTAATTTCGACTATGCGTAATGTATGCTTTATGCATGCGTACGTTGAAAGAAATGTTTAATAAAGTAAACAAATAAATATTAAGCATTTTTTTTTTTTTTTTTTTTTTTTTTTTTTGTAAATTTTGATACCCTTTAGATCATAATTGCTCTTTATTTTATAAATTACGGTTTCGTATTTTTAATTTTAGAATTTCTGCATGCCATCTTACCAGATTTAAATTGATGATCTATAATCCAAAATAACCGATAATCCGGAATCGCCGAAGTTCTGACGAGTCCTGATTAAAGACTTTTGACTGTATCTTTCTATTTTTATACTTTTTGTGCTTGTAATGTTTATATTTTAAATTTGACTCATTCTCAGAAACTTGATTATTTAAGAACTGTCGATATCAAAAGAGGTTGATTAATAAAGGATTTTTCAAGATTTTTCTTCCACTAAAAACAAATCACAATAATCTTATGTCTCATTTGCTTCACTAGTGGTTGCATGATTAAGACCACTAAATACTGCTTAGATGCTAGCTTCAAGGTTCATTTTCCTCATGTGTAACATGAATATGAGCCAGTTTTCCCTATTAAGTCTTCTATGAAGGCATCCTCCTCTTAGGTGGAAAGCCCTCACATGATTTGCCATATTCAAGTAACCTATCCTAACCATGTCTTCTTTATTTTCAGCTAGTCATAAAACTGCTTCACATTTTCAATTTATTAGTTGTTGTTTTTTTTTTTAATTAATAAAATATGTTTCTTGAAAACATATATCAAATCTGAAATCTTGGAAATTTATTAATATCCTTTAGTGTAATTATTATATGTATCTATAACTAAGGACCATCCAGTGGTTATCTCATTAGCCATGAGAAGTTAACCTCATTCTATTCCCAAATGTTGAATTAGTCGCTGTGTGAGTTTTTAGTGAAATTCAGGTTATTATTAAGACTTGCAAGATCTTGATACCAGCATTCATTGTGCGACATTCACAGGTAGCATGAAAAGCTTGGAAATGAAACAGCTGATGCTCTAGCAAAGCTTGTCATGAAATTTCACACGGATTTAAATCTCCAATTTCCTGTTTCTCACTAGAACAGCTTTTTTAGAAATGATGCTATGTGTATTTGGAACAGAGAATATCTGTTCTCACCAAAAGAACAATGGACAGAAAGTTTTTTTCCCCTGCAATTTTTCACAATAAAATTTTATCAATTTTCAAATGATTTTAAATCAACTCAATTTTTGACTGCAAATGGCAATTCTGAGAGCTATTTAAAGCGAATGGACTTACTACAAGTGCTTTTTGCAGTTGCAGTAGCACCAGTGAAGATGTTAAGCATTTTCTTCTTGACTGCATTCATCATGTCCAGCAGAGGAAGACACTTCAAGGAACTCTGAAACACCTGTCTGTATCTCGACCACCAATTTTTTTCTGTACTTTTTCACACTAAAGAGACAATTTTTGCTTTTCAGAATTTCATTCTTAATTTAGGTAATTAAGCACTCTTCCTTTTATTACTTTTTTTATTTTATTTATTATTTTTTTATAATTTCCCTCCTTCTGCAGTGCTACTGTACATTCATTTATTTTGTTAGTGCTATAACTAACTTGTGTAAGCTTTGTGGAACATGAGAAATTGGAATTAGAGTTAAGCCAAAAAAAAAACTGCTAATCATTTTTTATAGTTCAGATAAGTGGAAATTCCAGAATGGAGTGTATAAATAATGGAATTCACATTAGGAAAACCAAATAAATAGAAAAAAATTATCCTCCAAAAATTATAAAAACATTTGTTAGCAACCTGAATATCAAAAGCCTACATTTAAAATTATGTAAGATTTCAAAAAAAAAATTACATTTCAATCATAAAACAAACCAGTGAAATTGAAAGCAAAACATCTGATCCGAATGTGAAATCTAACCCAACATGAAATTTGGTGAAATGTTGCCAATTATTCCAACAGAAGTTTAAATGAACTGACTGTTCTTTATTTACACAGACAATAAAGAGATACAAATTATGGATATAGTACACAAAAAACTAAATCATGTAATCACCTTAATTCAACTTTCAAAGTTGCTTATCGTGGCCCTTTTTTTTATGCTTGGATCCTGTAAATTAGAAAATACTCCCTAGATGCTGTCCAAAATAATAATATTTTTTTTTCAAAATATCACACATCTTTCTTCACAAATATTAAACTGGCTTATGGAGAATTAATCGATTTTATATTAAACCAAACGAAATTTTTGTGACTGTGTCGACACATCATACTTATCCATTACTAGCAGTAAATCACACTGTTTGGCAAGAATGTATATGTATAACGAACTCTATCATGGCATTTCAAATCCCTCCTTTATTAAATTTTTCAGCAGATATTTTTTCTAAAATATTTCGCTTACTTGAAATTTCTGGTTATTTGCAGGTCAGATGGTCTGACTTTTACTCTTCTGTAATTAAAATATAAATAATAACAACAATACCTCTTCCAATAATAAGGCATGCAATTCATCTCTACAGTCTTGCAATCTTCTGCGATCAGCACTGTCTACAACCCAGATCAAGCCATCAGTACTTTCAAAGTAATTTCTCCAATATGATCTGAGAGATTTCTGTCCACCTACATCCCACATATTCAACTTGAATCTAAAAAAAGGAGAAAGGGATGGAACTTAATTTAAGATCATCATAACTTTATAAATTTTAGCAGACACTGACAAATGAAAGAAATTATACCCTCTATGCTCTAATGTTTTAATGTTGAATCCAAGTGTCGGTGATATAACACTTATATCTTCACCATTAAATTTTTTCAGTATAGTAGTTTTACCAGCATTATCAAGTCCTCTAAAGTATTTGTTAAGAATAATTATCATGCACTATGTAAATATATTCATATATTATATACATTTAAAGCAATATATTAAAAACAGATGTGAAATAAAAACACCATAAATGACTTGCTTTTAGAAATAAACAAAAACTGGATTACAATTAACAAAACAAAGTTTTTAAAAGTAACAAAAGCTTAATTATTAGTAGTAATACAGTACAAAGTCCGAAATCTGGACATCCATTATCCGGAATGATCTAAAATCCAGACATCAAAACCACCAAAAACATTTTCTCGTAGGCTTTACGCATGCGCATTTGATTACCCCCTCCAAGCATAATAAAACATCTGGAGAGTCCCGATTCTTAATTTCACTTCGACACTAAATAAAATACCTTGTTATTGAAGAAACAATCATTTTAGCCTAAATTTTTACAATCAGTAATTTGGCTCTGTTGTTGCATGTCTGCTTGGCATGCATTGCAAACCGAAACATTCCACAAAGATACATTGTTTGCCGAATCCTTATTTATTATACTTTCCTTTCATCACCACATGTTTGTAAAAACATGACAACTTGACTAATGACTCATGCAGTGATGCCTAATCAATTTTTTTTTTGTGTTAGTAATTGAAAAATAAAGGAGTATAGTAACCTTTTATCCTGGCATTACACTTGGAGATGATTACAGATTTAATTTAAATGCACTAAAAAATATTGATGAGGAAAAATTTACCCAAAATTTCTTTCTATATGCTAAAAATAGATTTTGTTGATGATATTCATAGACCCAAAGATTACATTTAGGGCTATTTGAATTAAGAATCACTGGTTTGTTATTCACATGAACCCAGAACCAGCGCTCGTATGGCTGGCTCCGAGTCACAGAATTTAGGTCCCACAGAGACTGCATCAGGCAATAAGATATATAGTGCCTGCCCTCAATAAAGCTTAAGTATATATCAGAATTTATTTATTCAGAACTCTGATAAGCCTTAAGCATGTGCAAGAAAAAGATAATAAATAACTAAACTAATACAATTCAGGCTTAGTTGTTTCAGTGAATGATAGAAGCAAGATGAAATTTAACAGAACAACCTACCATTAGTCGCCAAGTTCATGATGCATAGCCAAATATGTATAGCGAAGGATAGCTAAATTTGACGATGATAGCCGCTAATTTTAAAGGTTTTCGGATGTCACAATACAAAGGTGAAATTTTCCAAGTAAAGAATTTTGTACAAAAATATAGAGAAGTAGTAATAAATGAAGATGATATAAAAAAAAAAGTTTGTCATTGTGATGACAATGCTTCTCAATCATCAATCATTTAAGGAACGATGAAGTCTGAAGTAGGTTCTAGATCCAGAAAATAACCGCTACCAATATTGAAGAAAATGACAGAGCAGTTACTGAAAACAAGAAAATTTCGATTGACAAGTTAGTTGGAATTCTCAAAGCAGCAGTTACAGGACTTCACCAATGTAACTAAACAAGAGATCATGTCTGTCTACAGAATTAAAGAGAAAGTATTAGCAGAAAATACGAAGCAAAATAAACAACTTACATTGAAAGAAATGTTTAATAAAATAAAAAAATAAATATTAAGCTTTGTTTTTTCTAAATTTTTATAACCCTTTAGATCATAAATACTTCATTAATTCATAAATCAAGATTTCATATTTTTAATTTTATAATTTCTACATGGCATCCTACTAGATTTAAAATGATGATCTAATATCCAGAATCACCGAAGTCCCAACGAGTCCGGATTTTGGACTTTGTACTGTGACTTTGTGACAAAATTTTTAATTTTTTTATCTGCTTATTCGCAAGGCAACCAACTATGTTACCAAATAGGCAACCCATAACATCACGAAAATAATATGGCAACCCAGGTATATATATATATGGGTGTAGCAGATGAACACGGATTTTCACCTTTAAACTAGATAGTCATTTTCCTGATTAGCATATTTTTGTATTGAGCACATTTATTTATTTTCCCTCTTGTAAGGAATCATAATGGGTTTGTAGATCGTCAGCTGATGAGAAAAACTTCAGAAATGAGGCATTTTGTCCAACAGCACAAAATGCACAAATTTTCATTTTTCGGAGCTGACTTAAATAATTTAAATTTATACCTGATGCCAAATTCTCTGTTTTTTTTTTTTTTTTTTTTTTTTTTTTTTTTTTTTTTTAACAAATTGCTATGTACATGGGGAGAACAACAGCATGCTCAATGCCAAAATTGTACAGTTCTCTGAAAAAGGAACAAATAGTATGTTTCACCTTTTTAGTCATGGTTGAAGAGGATGTAACACACAATGCAGATAGTGTAATAGATGTTGTGAACTCTTAGAACAACCATAAAATCCTTAGATAAGCACAATATATCTTTATTTACTTATAATTACGCTGTTTAAACATTATAATGGGGCAATCTGCTCCCCAAAATTTTTAAATACACACTCTTTTACACAATACAGAAAGAAAACAAAGCTAGTGAGGTGTTTATTCAAGCAGTAGCAGGGCATAAAATGTAATGTGTACTAACTGAGGTCATAGTTATACTGTGGAAAATCTTTGTTTCAATCCTCAGCAGTGATTGGGCAAAAGTTTACAGCAATGTGCAGATGGCTTGAAAGGGAAAATGCAGATGGCTTGAAGGGGTTGTTTCTTAGTTAAAAATTAAAAATTTAAAGGTCTGTTGTCAATTTGCTCCAATTTTGTTTCATACCTAATATTTTACATATTTTTTCCCTTCAAAGAGAAAAAGGCTTGGCAAGAGAAAAGCCATTTGAAAAGAAAGCATAAGTGTCAGCGAATGAAAAAGTTTACACCAATATGAATACTGCAAGAAAAATGCAGACCTTGAAGAGGTTGTACTTTACTTAAAAATTAGAAATTTAAATGTCTGTTGTCAATTCGTTCCAATTAAGTTTAATTATTTTCTTTTATATTTTATATTTCTTATATAGCATATTTTCTTTTATATTTTACATCTCATATTTTATATTTCACATGTATGTAACATTTTCTGTAATATCTAGAGATTCTTTTTTGAGTAGATAGAATGATCACTCCTTGTATTAACCTGGCAAGATCTGTGGCATTGTAAATGCATAACAGAGGAGATAAACTTGCAAATGTAGCCACAGTCAAGACATAATTTACTGCTGGACATTCTTGAGATTCATATTCTCAGTCAAACATTATTATGGGTGTAATATGGACCCACAATCTTATTCTGCTTCTTGTATCTTTGGAACATGCACGACAAAGAGAGGCAAATGGCATGTGCTAGCAGAGCAAAAGGAAAGTGGAAAAGTAAGTATGCATTCAGCAAACAAGAGATACATTCTTTAATCTGATATCTTGAATCTTTAATCTGCTAAACTTGCATAACATGGCATGATGCACATTAATTATGAGATGACACATCATATAAGCAATTAGTAGTTTTAGGACAGGAAGGTGTAGCAGTAAAAAAAAGGACTATTGCTGAATTAAAGTTAGAAATTAATTTTCATATTTGAGACTTCACAAAAACATAGTTCAGGGGTTCCTAACTCTACGCTTGCAGGCACCATGGCACTCACTGATCATTTAACATGTGCCCGCCACAAAGCGATCACAATAAAAATGTTTTAGTTTTCAATAAAATTCTATGTGAAAGTTTTCTCATTTTTAATGACATAGAAATTACTTCCAACACAGACACCAGAACAAAGTGAAATGCGACCGATCTCTTTTTTTTTTTTTTTTTTATGTGCATGTATTATTATTAATTCAATCCAACCATAAATTCACCTAGTGTTGCACTGAATTTACCTCAATATTATTTCATTCAGTCGTTCTCGCTTATAAATCAAATCTGACTTCATTCTATAACACTTGAAAGGAAATATTTTAAATAAAAAGTTGCATTTTCTTGCAAGCCAAACATTATTTGCTTACACACTTAAGGAAATCAAAATTTTATTCTAATCTTTCTTACTGTTGCCAAACTAGAAAAACAAAATCTGTCTAAAAAGGAACACAACGGCTGTTGAATATCATTAACAAATATAAATCATGGAGCTCACAACATACTCCTACTTTCTGATTTTCTTAAAATGGTCTATGAAAATCAAAACGTTAAATAAAAATAAAAATTTACACTTTCTACTCAACAGATTTGCATAGCAATCTATACTCACAATATAAGTTAAAAAATAATACAAAACATACACTAAAAAAAAAAAAAAAAACACTTATAACGAGAAGATTTAACACTTTTTGCCACAACTATTTTTTAGTTCGAAATTAGTTTCTTTAAAGTCAATGTCCCTTTTAACATTTTCAGATTTATGAGGAATGCTCCTTTTATGAGAAACAGCTGGCACGGAATTTCTTGTACAGACAACTTTCCCTTCATTATATTCTCAAAATTTTTACAGTTATTGTAGAAATGCAATATCCAAGCTATTAGTCTCAAATCTTTGAATACTTTAAAAATTGCTGTAAATTCCATCCCTCATCTGACACAGAAGTGTTAACGAAAGCAGTTTCTTCCTTCTTTTGCTCTTCATAAACTTCTTTACCGTTGGTTTGAATCTGAGATTTGGCTCAGTTGTCTTTAGCAGTAATCGATGTAAAGAGAAATTAAGTAATCGATGTAAAGAGAGTAATCGATGTAAAGAGAAATTTTAAAGAACAACCTTTGGTTGGCAGGTCCGCCGGATTATGACTGCAAGGAATATGTTTCCATGAAGAAGATTTTCAGAAGAATGTTTCCATGAAGAATGTTTCCAGAAGTGATACTTCGAATTTCCTTAACTCTATTTTTAACAAAAGTACTCCAATTATCTTCATTCTTAATCCAAAACAAAACGGTTGAAGAATTTGTCCAACATGTGGTTGAGACTTCTGTCAAATTCATTTCTTTTATAATGTAAGATATAATGCATGCTCCTACACAACAGGCTAATAATTCGAATCTGGGAATTGTTGCTTTCACCAAGGCCAACT